CAGACTCACCAGAAGAGTTGAAGTTGACGTTCGCCCAGAGGATGTGGATGAGGACAGACTGTTCTGCTGGGTGGGTAACGTACTGCGGAAGGAGGAATAAAAAATTGTCAAGCCAAGGTGCGGGAGTCACCATTGGTGGCACCAGGCCAGATCCCATTCCCCATCTACTTGGATGGGATGAGTCATCTCAGTCTTCCCCACTGCATGAGACAGACTTTGATGTCTCCAACAGATCCCTGCTTCTAGCTCTGCTTCTCTAGAAATCCATCCACCACGCTTGCTCACCTGCTGAGTTGGGCCGTGGTCGTATTGGGGAGCTCCTCACTGTGGCTCAGGCTGCTCAGAGCTGTTGAGTGTTGGCTGGCTGTCGTCAGCAAGGACGATGCAGATACCCCATCATTGAGAGGCGTGATACTGGGAGCAGAGGGGGAATCGGATTTCACTGCGGGGCCTGTAGCACCTGCCAACAAAAGCTTTGGGTTAGGGGCAGCTACTAGCAGCTCCTGGAGGGTAATTCAGTAGTGACGATCAGCAAAGGCTCAGTGAGAAGACCAGGGAGATCCGGGGCTTCCCTCACTGCTGCCAACCAGTTATGGACTTGTGAGAGCGTGATTGTGTTCTACATCTCACTTTACCCCAACACCACCATCAGCTCTGCAAAGAGCTTCAAGACCTACAGATGAGGTGCCTTTCACAAACAAATCAGAGTAAATTATTGTCATCAGGGAGCGACTTATCAAGAATCTCATGGATCCATCAGCAGAAAGCTGAACACTTTAAGGCGAGCAAATAATCTGAGTGGCAGCAATTAGTCCAGCAGGGAAAGAACTTGCTATTAGCACAGAAAAAGCTTTTAATCCACAGCAAAGAATACAAGCAGTACAAGAGACTCGGGACACCCACTGCACTGACAGACTCTTACCTTCAACGGCCTGCGTGGTTTGTAATGGCGTGGGTTGTACAGAACTGAAACCATTCTGAGGAAGAAGAGAAAAAAAAGAGTACTGGGCATTGCAGCTGCTCATTTCCAGAGGCAGATCTAGTGTCAGCACCCTCCCACACTCCCTGCTCAGTTGGGAAAAAGGCGTGCTACCAACACGTGTCACCAGACCGCATCGGGGTCAGTCCCAAGCTCAACTAGCCCAGTGCCAGCATGGCCCTGATACGCATATTTGAGAAAGCAGCGCAAGAAGTTTCTCCGCTGCTAGTAGTTAGACTGGCTCAACATCCTCAACCCAAGTTCATTAGCCAAAATTGATGTTACTGAACTTGTGTGCAGCATGCAAGAATCAAATCCTGAAGACAAAACTAGATCCTTAGCCGGAACGCCACTCTGCAGCAGGATAATTATGCGTGACACGACACATGGCCTGCGATCAACTTAATCGCTGCTAACCCCACTGGCTCAGCCCCAGGTAAGCAACATAACTAAGGGCTCCTGTAGCAGCCAGAAGAAAGCTCTCACGAGAGTCCACGAGCCACGTGGTGAGGCTGGAGGATTGCAGAAACACTTGATAAACCACCTAGCTTCCCCCGAGACAGTGTTTCACATGCTATGCTTACTCAGCAAAAAGGGAGAGCAAAGCTATTTTCCTACCTTGGCCTGGGTCAGATCTTTCTGGGGCGAGGAGGAGATTGAATTTGGGTATCGCCTCGTCTGGGTGGATCTCTGTTCGTACAGTGGTCCCTGAGCGCTGTTCTGGGAGGTAAATGTTGCTGTCTGTATTGTGCCGCTCTGGTAACCAGACTCCTGGCTTTGATTGGACGAAATTGTGGATGAAGATTCACTACAAAGGGGGAAAAAAAAATAAAAAGAAAAGAGGAGTTTAACACTTTCCTCCAAAACAGCCCTGCTGTAAGCTGCTGACCCAGACTGTAGGCTCTCCATTTCAAATCTTCAAAATAAAGAGCCCCAAGCATCACTATAAAGGCACCACACAAAGCAGGCAAGCAGAGAAACAGACCCAGACAAGGGCCAGCCCAACCCCAGGAGGATGCTGGCACCTCGCTGCAGCCTTGCCTGACACACTGCTGTGCTCCAGGTGACATTTCATGCGCTGCCACCACTCAGATCCCAGCACTCGAGGGACCGGCCAGACGCTAAGGGTCAGCCCAACAGGGGCTCTGAGCAACCTGATCTAGCTGAAGACGTCCCTGCTCGTGGAAGGGGGGTCGGACTAGATGTCCTTTAAAGGTCCCTTCCAACCCAAACTATTCTATGGATTCTAACAGAAGACAGAATGCTTTGCTTTGGCAAGGCATCATCACCGTAGATACACCTACTCCACTGCATCCTGGTTTGCCAGACAAAAAGCAGGACAAAGCACACAGAATCCGTTCACCGGGGACGAGGAACACTTGCACTGGGGATTCCCCTCCTGTGTTTCCACCAACACAGTTTCACAGCAGCAGGAAACGTCTGTGTTCTGTGTAAGTACCACAGGCCAATCAGTCACAGAGCTGCCTGAACGAGCCTGCGGGCAACTTACCCTTTGCTGTTGCATACATTGTCCCCCCTTTGTGACCACGGCACAGTCAGAAAGGGTCTACTAGTATGCAGCGTAACTCAAGCCCACGGGACCAGCTACGTTCCAAAGCTACCTGCTCGGATTAATCGTTCCCTTCCGTGCGCTTGGCCCTCACCTAGCCGTGCTGGTGTACAGGCTGCTTTGAGACTGGCTAACGGCGGTGCTCGTTGTGGGCGTCGATTCGTACTCCGCGAGAACAGGCTCCGAACCAAACTGTAACGCCCCAAACTGCAGGTTTAGCCCTGAGATATCTGCTGAGCCAGGCATTTCCACCGCAAGCGCAGGAATCTGCAGGGGAGGAACAACAGAAAGGGTCAATCACTCCCCGGGCTTAGCACAGAAAATGACTTTAGTACCCACATTTCCCCGCACACGACGGTAGTTACAGGCTTTCGTCCTCTGAATTACACTGTTCAACCCAGGCAGGCGAGCTTTTCTCCGTCACCCCCACAACCACCCAATGCCAACAGCAGGAAGGCCAAGCCCAGCCCTTCCCTCACCAGCCCAAATGGGTTTTTCTGCAGCTCTAACACAATACAACGCCTCCTTCTCCATCATTGATCCGCACCTTTGATGTTAACGATGCTTTCTTCTTTTGCTGTTTCAGCTTCTGCTGTGCTGGCTGGGGACTGGAGGACTGGTTGTCCGAGGACCCCGGGGACATCTGGGGAACAGGATTGGTTTTGCTGGGCAGCGGCGAGGAAGGGGGTGCCGGCACGGTTGTAGAGGCAGTCACCACAGGTTGTTTCTCCTGCATGAACACTTCTATCATGGTTGAAGTTGACGTGAAGGCCTGACGCTTAGTGAAGGGACTATGCACGGAAGAGTCCGTTGGGTTCTTGAGATCTACCGGGGGAGACAAGAGTTGAGTTCGCCGGATTTGTTTCCTTAAAATTAAATCAAGCTCTGACACTTCTCGGCATCAAAAAAGATAAAATCATTTCACACTATGACTCCTCCTGGAGCCTGTTAAAATCAGAGAGCAGAGAACCCCAGCATCTCCCCTCCCAGCCTTGCGCTCTCACCACCATAAACGCTGAGCCTTTTAAGTCCTTCTCCCCTCAGCTCCTTCCACCACCCCTACAGGACAAAGTCAGCTCACACAGCATAAGTCCTCCATCCTCCCAGAAAAGCTGTACTTCAGAGTCCCTCGTGCGGAGGCACTGCACATCAGAAACCTGCACAGGTCTGAGGCTGTTTCCTTCCCCCTCTCTGCCAACACCGCTGCGTTTCATTGCCTGCTCTTTCCCCTGCAAATACCAGGTATCCACCACGCAACACCACTGCTCGAGGCTGCCCACCCTCAGGTCTTTGCACAACTGCACCACCCTCCTCCTTCGCCTAAGCCTTTCTGCAGCATACTAAAAAACAACTCCTATTCTCTCTGACTCCCTTCTGTGGCTCCTTGTCTGAAAAGATCAGAAGCTGCCAACACTGACTATTACTAGGACAGGGCTCGATTTTTCTTCAGCTTAGATTTGAACCAGAGCCATTTCCCTACAGCAAGAAATAAAACACACAAGCCAAAAGAATAAGAAATGGCACTAGTACTTGACCACAGCAGGGCTCAGCATCTCATCTGAAAAGCAGGGGCCCCTCTTAATCACTGCTTATTCCCTCATGCCAGCCCAGAGGTAGAGTTACCTCTTGGCATTTAGCAGTCACCGGAATTGAATTTCTTTAAAAGATAATGTTAGGTCAGCAGTGAGATGAGTCTGACAAGTGTTGGTATTCAGGGACTATTCTCCAGAGGCGCCCAGTTTCAGGACCCCTTCTCTGTTACCCAGCTTTACAGCAGGA